TACTCTTTCTTTTTCTGCTGGCACATTAAAATACTCCTGAATTGTCCTTGGGTCATGGACACAGTCATTGGGAGCACACCTGTCCCTCAGGCTTTGCTTGTTGGCCAGGCTGGACAGTGCCCTTTGGTCCATACAGAAGCCCTTGCCCACCAAAGGATGCTGCATGATGGGGTTGAGTCCTTCACTCCTCAGCCAGGAGGAGCATGAGCAGGTTGTCACCACCCAAGGTTCACCTTTGGGAATTTGTCCCAAGAAACTAGTAGAAGATAAACTCAGGAATTAGAAGAGTGAAAATTAGACCTACAGAGAGGAGTCGGTCACATTCACATGGGAATGCTGTGAGGTTAATGTCACTTAGGTTGGTCATGATGGTGCATGCCTGTGATCTCAGCACTCAGGATGCCGAGGCAGAAGGATCTCAAGCTCAAAGCCAGTCTTGGGCAGCTCAGCAAGCCCTGTATCAAAATTTAGGGCGGAAGGGCTGGGGAGATGGCTTTGTCAAGGGCCTGGGTTCAATCCCTGGTTCCACAAAAACATTTTTTAAAAAAAGCAGAGGGCTTTGGCTCAGTGGTAAAGTACCTCTGGGTTCTATCCCCAGTGCACTATACAATTCCAGCTTTTTTTTTTTTTTTGGTGCTGGGACTCAAACTCAGGACCTTGTACTTGCTAGGCAGGCACTTAAGCCTGCTAAGTTATCTCCCCAGATGATTCCAGCTTTTGTTTTTAAAGTATGGGTACCTGGGTTGAAGCATGAAATACAATGGTATCTTGGTTCACAAAATTAGTTCCACGATTTTGGAAAAGATGGCTGCATTTGTGTTGTGTGGGTGAGATGGCTGCAGTTGTGTCTGCTGCCTGATGCAGAGCTTGCAAACAAAAAATGTTGCCGAAAGCTTCTGTTTGCAAAGAAAAGCATTTGTGGGTTGAGGCACCCTTGTATTACTTGTGGGCATTGGATGTCCAGTGCCAATTATATTCCAGGCACCCCATGGTGAATTGTGTCATCATCAGAAAACAATGTAAAATTTGCATTTAAAAATGATTTGAATGTTTTAAAAATAATTTGAATAAATCATTGGTGGAAATTTGAAAATAATTCTCACCCACTACCCCCACAGAGTCCCTTCACAGTCAGTAATGTTAGTTGGTGATCTGCTCAAAGATGGGTAGGTGGGAACATGACAGCCATCAGACCTTGTAAGACTGGAAAGAACAGACCAGGATTTCTAGTCAAGAATCTGCAAGGCAGCTTCACCATCTCAGACTCTTCCTGACAGGTTTTTTTTTGTTGTTGTTGTTGTTTTCATTTATGTATTTGGTACAGGGTTGCACTATGCAGCTCTGACTCGTAGTGATCCCCATGTTTTCAGCCTCCCCAGTGCTGGGATTACAGGTGTGTACCACCGTGCCTGGACTTGGTCGCTGGCTCAGTACACTCTGGCTGGTGCTGGCTTGCAGGACTGAGAATTGAACCCTGGTTCCTGTGCTTGCCAAAGTAGGCGCTTAGCCTGCTGATCTCTCTCACTGGCCCCTGACAGGTCTTTTTGAAGGCATGTGCTTATGTGTAGAATAAATACCAGGAATAATGTTACTGCAGTCAGTAGGTGGAAGTTATAGGTAAACCCGGTTTTTCTAAATTTCTCATTTCCAGAAAGAATTCATAAAATTAATGTATTAGCAATGAATTAATAATTAAAATAAGCATGGATTGGTGGAGAATTATGTAATAAAGGGTGTCTTAGATCCTCTCAACGCCAATATGCATTTCTGATGGAGCAAGCGCTTGGAGGGAAATGGGACATTTTAGGGGGAAGAAAATGAGTCCCTGTTTAGAATTTAGGAAGAAGATTTAAGTCCTAAAGTAATTGGAGTAAGTTTAAAGGTAAAGAAATAATGTTCACATAGAAATTAAATTACATAAGACTAATATGGCAAAAGTGAAGTCCATAGAGAATGGCAAGTCTTTTTTTTTTTTTTTTTTTTTTTTAATGTATTTGGTACATGGTCTCTCTCTGCAGCTTGGACTCGTAGTGATCCTCCTGTTCTCAGCCTCCCCAGCACTGAGGTTACAGGCATGCACCACCATGCCTGGACTCAATGGCTAGCTCAGCTCACCCGGGGGCAGGGCCTGCATGGCATGTAGTGCCAAGGATCAAACCTTGATCACTGCACTTGCTTAAGCAGGTGCTTAGTCCACTAAGCTATCTCGCTGGCCCTGGCAAATCTATCTTTAACATGCTATCAATACCATGTGGTATTGCCCCCACCCTTGATACTGGCGATCAAACCAGGACCTTGCACATGCTAGGCAAGTCCTGTACCACTAAGCTA